CAGTGTTTTGGGAACAATCAGATTTACATGTTATAATATGTTTATTTTAAAGATGCCGTAAAGTCCGTAATGTACTGTAAACAAACGCTTTGTTTACATGCATTTGAACTGCTATATTTGTAAAATATGATATACTAACTAAATATCTGGCACTGTTTTGGTTCGCTATGCTTGTAAATAAATATCAACTCTACGTTTCAATTCAAAATAGTTCAAAATGAGCATAACTGATGCGCAGAACGGACTTTACAGCATCTTTAAAGTTTTGGTTTTATATTAAAGGTTCTTCTGAATGACCTCGAAAGTGACCAACCTTGTGCCGTGCACAGTAGGCCTCAACATATGGCCAGACCAGCCTACGGATTACGCCAAAAGTTACGGTCTCAAGATCCGGAAGCCTGCAGTTTGAGCTGGTGAAGAACGCATACTAGATGGATTTCTTTAGGCTGATATTTTGGTAAAAGAACCACGTCATCTTGTATTTGCAAAGATATCATGCGCAGCTGAGTATTTTGTGACAAGCAAAATCTTGGTATGTCGATGGAACATTCAAACTGGTGCGTCACCCATTCAAGTGTTTTTAATTGCTGACAATAAACTGATGCCTTTGTACAATGTCTTGACCATGCAAAGTAGGTTCCGTTGGTGTACGTCAGGACGTAGCACGAAAGACTACAAGAAGGTAAGTTAGATAGAACATAAGGATGCAGCGAGGATGATGGTGCTTATAAATATTTAAGAAAGTTAATGGCACTTCCATTTCTTTACAACCATGAAATAGCCTCGATTTTTGTCTTCTTGAGTGAACAAGCACAAGACCCACCATTGTCTGCTTGCTCTGAATGACTACATCAAGAAGCAATGGATCGAAAGCAAAACTTTTCCTCCAAGAAACTGGAGCATTTACCAGCAATTCATCAGAACCAATAATGACATTGAACTATTGAAGGTTCGCATAATGCCTTAAACAGACAAGCTGGAGAAAGAAGCAGTTTATGTATGTGCTCATCGAACTTCTGCATGGAGAGCCCAAATAAGCCATCAACATCAGATTGGTTTCAGAGGAGAGGCTTCAAAGAAAGACCTACAGGAAGCAGCAAGAATAGATAATTAAGCAATGGAATCTACAAGAAGAATGAGAAGGCATCTGATGAACTATTGAGATTTTATTCTCATATAAATGGACCATTCCGTGGTTAAGAGAACTTATTAGGCTAGGTTCAACAAGGGCGAATCAGCGTATTTGTTTACATATTCGCAATGGACCAATCAAAACGCGGAGGGGGGATATACCTTGGTGTAGGGCTGTTTGGTATGACAAATCTCCGACATCGGTATACCTAAAAAAAATATACCAGTGATGCTGGTATGTGCTAGAATACACTTTTGCTGATACATTTTGATTGCACCTAAAATTTCGGTATATCGGTATGACTAAAACTGTCATACCGATTTGAATTTCAATACCGGTATATTCGGTATATCGGTATACCAAACATCCCTACTGTATACTGTACGTTTGCATGTTCACAATTATATTTTTTGCTACAATGCATGTGGCAAAGTTTCCTTTCCACAAGCCCAGATCATAGTGGAAATAATAATTATGATCAGTGACGACAAATATATAATTGCCGTGTTTTCCACAATAATGAAATTACTTAGCAAAATTGTGTTCCTATATGTTTCTAAAACGTTATCTAAAACAAATCAGATATAGAATGTTTATATCAATATACCGTTGTAATACGGTAACTTTAGTGCAGTCGTATGGGGAGTTTAAGCTATGCAATTGCTATCCGTATAGGAAGTATTTATTAAATGTATAAATATCTAAAACAAAATGTAAAAATTTTGAAGATAGTTAAAAATTATGATTCGCAAATGTTAATTCAATAATAATCAACATATTACTTACAAGAAAAGTGTAGTTGTCTGTAGTCCTTTATATTCATAAGAAATCCATGTAGCAAGCTAATACAAGCGATATAAACTCAAACAACTTATATAACAATATCACGATCATGTTTCCCTACTTTGCCGCTCGTTTATAATTTTTACAAACATTGCTTGCGTTTCATGGAACTGACATAAGAACGCGGGCGAACGTTGGCGAATCGACCGGAGAGGTTGGTAAACTGACAGTTGGCGAAACATCCGGTTAGCCCTATACATGGCTGCATCGATGGCTTTAGTCGGCGTGTGATATGGTTGAAACTTGAAATGAATAACAATGATCCTAGAGTAATTGGAATGTTATAATTGTTTGGAGATGCTGTCATTGAAGTTGGAGGATGCCCGTCAATCCTTCGAACTGATCGAGGTACTGAAAATAGTCCTCAGCTCAGTGCCTTCTCAGAAAGTACATATGGAGTGCATTTGGGGTTTTTTTCAATATACGATGATACAGAAAGAATTGGATGAAGTAAGTAAGAGATGAATGGAAAAATCATTATATTCGAAAGTCTCGACACCATACCGCTTCAGGAATCTCCAATACTCTATATTATTTAGCAGACGGTGTTGGTACTATTGACTACAAACACCAATACAACCCCAAGGATTTAGAAGAAACAAGACGCCCACTCGGCGTTAACCTCGGGTCGGTGGATAGGGCATTTGGTAAATATGCAAAAATCGTGTAAATCACGATAGTTTAAATTAATAGTTCACTAGTATAAATGGTGAATCAGTCAATCAAAGCTCCGTTTTAACATTTTATTGATAATAGTTGAATACATGAACAATTTAGAGAATTTACTGACGGAATTATTTAACTGTATTTATTCATTATTTGGGATATTTTGTGGACGAGTGAATGATATACATAGCTACTTCACAACTTCATCTTGTATTTAGTAATCACTAACAGACAATATTATCAGTCTATTTGTTGATTGCACATAGCAGAATGACAGTCACTTCAGATATTTTTAAAATATATCAAAGTACCGAAAATATAATTAGGTGCATATAACTGATTCATCATTAGTAATAGTTGTACCACAGTCGAAGAATGTAATGAGTGGACAGTTGGCAAAATTGTTGTATACTAGTTACAGCAAGAACCATCCATAAAATGCTTAGCAGTATCAGACAAGTGAAAGTTGGTCGCGGTATTCCCATGCTATGCATACGAAGTATTGTACATTATATCAACATATACTCGAGAATAGTTATCCAGCTAACATGTATGTCAAAATTATCACATCTTCTGGTTTTAAATCAACAATTTTGACGGATATTGTGCAAGGACAGCTTCGGGTTCCGTTTCGCTTTGGCCGATACTTGAAATTTCCCCGAACTACACTTATTTACTAGAAGCTGTCGTTTCCTCCGCAGGCTCTTCGACTACGCGCGCGGCTCGACACAAAATGGAAAAAAAAATAGGAGCCGAATTTATGACCTCGGTGTCGTACCGACCCGAGGTAATTAATCGTGATCTGAAACCATCTGATGATTCAAATGAATCGCTCATTTACCAGTAGTACTTATCTTATGCCAATGAAATGCCAAGTGGTATGACTGAGCCAAGTTCGTGGAGGAATACATTAGCACTATACCATAGACTATCAACAGTTGCTCAAACATAAACACACACATAAGGTAAAACCTCTATTAACCTCCTGGGGGAGCTTATTTATTTCAGGCACATTTAAGGGGAGGAGCTTACTAGAGAATGGGCTATATTTAGAGAGAGGTCTTATTGATTTAGCTGAAGTGCAGAAGAACAAATGAGACTTAATAAAGGATCTGTGATGTAGTCTTGGAATTACACGCAGTGTGAATTACACGCAGTGTGGCCACTATGCTTGTCATTTGTATGCCTATTCGGGGATTTCATACCTCAGAAATAGGCGTACATTGCTGTGCACGCCTATTTCTCAGTATGCAAACATTCATGAATATCCCAAACCGCCCAAAACGATATGTGAATCAGTTCTGGTCCATAAATTTAATTCCGTAAAATAAAATCCATCTCTTTAATTTTCAGAAATATACAAATAACTTTCATATGAATATAATTATGCTTACTTAATGTGCAAATTGTAGGTATATATAATCTTTTTATCAGGAAGGTCACAATATTCATTTGTCACTCCCCCTATCCCATTTATTCATTTGTCACTCCCCCTATCCCAAAGCAAGTTTAGTAGTTTTTTGTTAAGCCATACATAAACTTTGTAACAAACTTTGTTTGTGACAATTATTGCAGGAACTTTTCTCACGTAGCAAGTAGAATATATGAGTTTGATATGAGTCCAGTCCTCTCCACAGTTCAAAGATTGCATAACGCAATTTCAAAGTAACTGAATGGTTTAGTTTAGCCTGCTTCAAATCGGAATTCACTTTCAAAGCTTGCTTTTTCTCTGAATTCATCAGCATTTGAGAGTTCCTCCAATTCAAAATAATGAGTCTTTGAGGTCTTTAATTATGTCATGATTTGTTATTTCATCAATAGATGGCATGAGGTCTTCAATATTTCCTGTCAAAATTCCTGGAGATCCTTGTAATAATTAGTCAAGAGCAGTAAGCTGCCCAAATGCATAATACTCCCTCGCTCTATGGTAAGGTGAAGATGTTGTGTGACATCAACCTTTCTTCAGCAGCAGAATTGACCAGCCCAAAATATTCTCGTGATGGCCCATCTTGATCCACAGCTGGTTATCCAATGAATTAAACCTTCTTCCCAAACATTCTGCCTGATAACTTTCATTTTCTAGTTTCATGAGCTATCCATATTAAGTTCTTTCCTGCAGTTTTTATGCTTTTCAGTTAGCTTTCTATTCACTGTGTACAATGTTTGTGATTCATGCAATGGCTCATCCTCATCATCATCATAAGTGTCGTTGTTATCCTCACATTCTTCACTCAATAAAGACCCATAAAGTCCCTCACTGATCTGTCTTGAACTTCTACGAGCAACTTAATTGCTCCTTCCAAGGACCCAGTTGCATCAACTGCTTGCCTCAATTCACATTCATTCTATAGTGGGGAACATTTCTTTCAAGATTTGAAAACCCCTAGAAAATCCTGTTTTTCCAGAAGGTAAATTATTCTCTACATGTAAGCTTGAGCAACCTTGGTCGTGGTCATCAACAACAATCGAATCATGTGAAATCAATGTCGATGTTTTAGCATAGACTTGCAGTGAGGGTCTGTTTGTTAGTATAGAAGTTGAACCAGCACGAGCAAATAATTCAATCACAGACATCTGTCTAATATGGCTTTCCTTTTCTGGAACTGAGTCATTATCCATCAGTGCCTTGCTGTAATTTGCAGAAACTCGGACCATCATGGCTTTGCCTTTCATGTTTTTAATAGTCTTTTTGTCGAAGTCAATATTCCTATTCCTATTCCAATATGAACTTCTCTTGAGTGCTTTTTTCTTTCTTTTTTACCGCATGCTGTACACTTTCGTCCGACTTTCGTTTCCGAAATTCATCAAAGGAAAGTATAGGAGGTTTTGGCTGAGGAGGTGCATTTGAAATTGTGGATGCTGCGAATTTTCCACATTGCCAATGTAATTGGCTACTCATGGAATCTGAAATATTCGATCCATTTGTTTTCTGTAATTCCACATTAAGTGCGGAACAACAAAGGTGACAAAAGCAAAATGATTCCAAAACGTCTTAATTACATTTCCTGCATTTCATCGTAATAATTTTCAAATGTACAGCCAATTCAAAAAAGGTTGTCCTAGCTTTGCAAACCTTGAACTCTAAACCTTAACCCTTAAACTCTAAGCGAGCAAAGCTTAATGGGAGCACAAGTTTCAAGCTTAATTGTTTAGAATTGCAGCTACTTGTTACCCTTGTAGAATCAAACACTATTTAATTCTACTTTTGAATTTAAGTTGACTATGGTGAAGTGTGAAACGTTATGCGGTTAGTTTTTAAAAATACTCTTTTGTTTATGAAAAAAAGGCAAAAACTGTTTCAGCGGTGAGGACCGATTTTCGCAATCGAAAAATGGCCGAAATTGCATATGTTTACCTAATCCTGGTATCCAAACCCTAAATCCAATTAGCCTTATAATTATGCTTTCTGCTAAAGGTACATCACTCCCTCGTTTACTAATAGTGGTTTTATGATGATTAAACAACTGAACACATTTGTGCACAATAAAGAGGGACGGGTACTGATCTTTATTGTTTGTCATTGCATGTAAAAAGTGACAGATTTCTCCATTTGCGATCCTTTCAAATCTTATGAGATTTTGCACAAGCACTATTGGAAAACTGCTCTTTTCAGAAATGTATCATTTATTTTGGGCAAATAAATTCACGCGCTACGAGAAAGAGATAACTTTGGTTCATTAAATATGCAAAAATCACTGTTTGACGATTGCGTGACTAAGAACTCCTTGAAATAAACTCGCTTAAAACATCATTGTTCTTCGTCTTTAGTTCAGAGAATTTGAAGAAAACATAAATATACATACCTTAAATGCGAAAAGTTCCTTTGAGCTGTTCCACTTTTGGAGTTATCCCTAATTTAACTACATAAACTCAAAGTTCAATGAGTCCAGCTAACAGGAATCAGCTAACAATTTACTCAACTTCCATTCGTATTCCATTTACAATTGTTATAGTTAAGCCAATAAAATAAAAAAAATAAGCCATGCAGAAAAGAGTAAAGATTAATATTGCAGACATTCTATTTTATTCATATACTGTACTGAGATTTCGAAAAAAGTATTTACATTTATATAAATATATAATTAGGTTATGCGGGCTTCCTGTCAATTTGGCGGAAGCAATGCTACTGCAGATACTGATATCTCTGCGGTCAAATGAACAATACGTGCCAATCCGTGCCCACTATTGGACCAAAATAGCAGCGTCTAGAGAGTGCCATTTCCTTCGAAACCACTCTGATCAGTCGTCTGTTCATATACTAATATGCTGACTTTTCATGGAAGTTTAACTGTTATGGTGTGCTCGTGACGGATATTAATTAATAATGATAACGATAGCATAGCGACGTGCGGATCGAATTTTTTCGACAATAATCCACTTAATATAAAAAACAATATTAAAAATACAAGTAATGCATCGCAGTGGCATTACTTCCGCCAAATCGACAGGAAGCCCGCCACCTATATTAAATGTAAACATTTGGTGACAAATAGCTAGCTTTTTCAATATGACAGTATAAAAATAAAATAGAATTTCTGCAATATTAATTTTGGCTGTTTGTTCTAACAATATTAATAATTGTAAATAAAAGTAAATTACAGCAATAAACAAAACCTCAATTCGCAATAATCCACTTATTAGAAAAAAAATATTAAAAAAGAAATGACAACATTACAGTATAAATACATCGCAGTGGTATTACTTCTGCCAAATCGACAGAAGCCCGCCACTATAATGTAAACATTTAGTGTAAATATAGTTTAAAAATATAGATAATAAATAGTTCAAAAATAGTGATAATATAGTTTAAAAATAGATAATAAATAATTCAAAAATAGTGATAATATAGCTTAAAAATAGATAATAAATAGTTAAAATACATCCCAGCTTGTTAAAAATAAATAATAAATAGTGGATATAGTATTGCCCAAATATATTAAAAATAGTTAAAAATTAGTAATAACATATTAAATAAATAGTTAAAATATGTTCTGTTAATACAGTTAAAATAGTTATTAAATATAGTGTATACAAATACATGCATATAGCCTATAAATATTTTTCAAATATATTATAAATACCAGTATTTAAAACATAGATAATAAAAATTTAAAACATATAATGTAAATAGTCTTTAAATAAAATATAATTAGTAAAAGAAATTGAGAACAAGTGTAGAAGTGTTGAAACGTCACAGGCTATTACAGACCTACTTTAGTATTTACCGTCTGTAAATGCCAGACAATTTTACTTATCAGTAGGTAGAGGTCTGTCAACAAATGAGTTAAAAATCTGTAGTTAGCAGTCTCTATAGTAGCCAAAGAGTTAAGTATATACATACAGTAACTTGGCTGGGGACTGGGCAGAAAAAAAGCAAGAACATCATGTAACATCAAGAATAGGGCGAAGCGAAGCTGCAGCTAAGTTCAGGCCTTCTTTACCGGTTAGAAAAAACATTATATATTTGAATAATACCCTGAATCTAGCTGGATATTTTTCAACTATCCAACATATATCCTGTATGCAGCTGGATAGCAAAAACTTTCTATCCTGCACACTCCTACAAAGAACTTCAAGTAAGTAAGGTAAGACCAAATTGCTCCTTTATAGGTGTTAATATTTAGGTGAGATATGCGCGAGCATGCCCAGTCGGTAAGTAAAATTGTGTAGCATGAAATGTCAGAGTTAAATAGTAATCCCCGAGCCGGCGGCGCGAAGCTCCGTGCGAGGGTACTAATTCCCCCCGGCTATTTACACCCGGGGTAACGAAAGCATTAGCCAAGTCTAAAGTTCATCAAATATCGCGGGCGTGGGTCACTGTGCGTGGGTGGTCATCCTCACTGATCTCAAAAATATGGCGGACTGTCATGGATAGCGAACACTGATTGGTCAAATTTAAAATTTGTTGTTGTATGAATGACGACTTCAACTGACAGATATTTCATGAAAATAATTTCCTTTTTGCACTACAGTATTTGGTACGTTTGCAAAAAACTTTGACAGCTTTCAAAGCAATTTGTTCTATAAAAAGTTTAATAAAACGATTACGGTATCAAATACCAATTGAAAAGATATGGACTACTGTATGGAGCCAAATGAAGAGCGGCAAGGAAACGACAAGAAAGCCGAACGTCTAGCGAAAAGGAGGGAGCTAGCGAAGACGACAACGTTTGCTCGAGGAGACTGCTGAGGAAAGAGAAGCTCGCCTGGGAAAGCGTAGAGAAGCATGGAAAAAAGGCCGCTGAAGCGAAAGATAAGCAAAGGCTTGTCTTCACAACGCTATGTACCAATGATACTGAAGCTATACAAGTTGAAGTATGATATTCGACCCTCTATATTCGACTATTTCTTCACAATTTTCCAATAAAGAGTTTGTCATGACACGCTCAAGTCAGTATAACCAGACTGTATTTTATTTATATCAGTTATCACAGCCACAGGCAATTTTATCCTGTCAAATACCGTCGGTTGCAACTAAGGGTGGACAGTTGCAGATAAAACATTCTCTATTCTCATTAAAAAGCCTCTATAAGTTTCCAGTAGGTCTCTAGCCCAACACGTTCAGACCACACAAAGTTTTGTTACTTATTATTGTACACATGGGAAACAACAATTAAGTGTTGTTGTTCTTGACAAACATTGAAGATTCTAATCGCGCGAATGTTTTTATGAGCGACTGTTTATCGTTAGTTGCAAGCGACGGTACAACATACTATGAACATTTTTCCGACTGTGACCGAATGTGCAACGATATATTTTTCAAAGTTGTTATCAATTCCTAAAATTTGTTTATAGTAAAACGGCCTGCTCAGCACTCACTACTCACGAATCACGATGATTTCATTTAGAAATGCAGTTACCAGGAAAGGAACTGATTCTAAAATATGTAAATTTAAAAGCATTGGCTAACAGAATAAAGCGATGTGAAGACAAGGTACAAACTTTTATAATTGCAATTTGTTATAAAATCCTATAAATAAACCGATTCGAATTTGCATATTCTATGCTGCATATTTATATTTTGTTTTTATAGTATAAAAATAAAATTGTAATACTATGAAATAAAATACATTTCTGTTTTTTGACCAGTACTTTATATTTAATGTCTTCTTTATCCAGTGGTCAGAGTAAATTTCTACTTCCAGCAAGTAAATATTTGACAAGCAGTCTGGAATAAGCACAGGACTTTTAATGCATCAGCCAAATCCAAGTGTGTCCATCCCCCTCGCCCAGCAATTTTCCTGTAAAGCACATCCCGGGGGTTGGGCATTTCCACTCGAACCTTAGCCCAGGTGGGGCATTTGAAATTAATAATTTGGATCCTTGCACTTCACTTGTGGAATTAATATTAGAATGTTAGGGTTTGTAATCCAAGTGAGAATATATACATGTATATATTGTGTAATCCAAGGGAGAATATTTTCTAATCCAAATGAGAATATACAAATGTATGGTACATGTATATATTTTGTGTATATATTTTGTAATCCAAGTGAGAATATACAAATGTATATATTCTCACTTGGATTACAACCTTTAACATTCTAATTTTAATTCCACCAAGTGAAGTGAAAAAATCCAAATTATTGAAGTCCACCTTATCACAACCCGCACACCTGATTACCCAAATATATACATGAACTTACGGTTAAAGCTCAACAGCTGGGCTCTGTAGCTCAGTTGGTTAGAGCGCTGCACCGGCATCGCAGGGCCGTAGGTTCAATTCCTACCAGAGGACCTTGTGCTGCATTTTTCGCAGTCGTTCCTGGGTAGGTTTTAAAATGTATCTATTCTCCCTTGGATTACAAACCCTACCATTCTAATATTAATTCCACCAAGTGAAGTGCAAGAATCCAAATTATTGAAGTCCACTTTATCATAACCCGCACACCCGATTAACCTAAATATACATGAACTTACGGTTAAAGCTCAACAGCAGGCCTCTGTAGCTCAGTTGGTTAGAGCGCTGCACCGGAATCGCAGGGCCGTAGGTGAAATTCCTACTAGAGGACGTTGTGCTGCATTTTTCGAGACGTTCCTGCTTAGGTCTTAAAATGTATATAATCTCACTTGGATTACAAACCCTAACATTCTAATATTAATTCCTCCAAGTGAAGTGCAAGAATCCAAATTATTGAAGTCCACCTTATCATAACCGCACACCCGATTACCTAAATATACATGAACTTACGATTAAAGCTCAACAGCTGGCCTCTGTAGCTCAGTTGGTTAGAGCGCTGAACCGGAATCGCAGGGCCGTAGGTTCAATTCCTACCAGAGGTCCTTGTGCTGCATTTTCGCTGTCGTTCCTGGTTAGGTCTTAAAATGTATATATTCGCACTTGGATTACAAACCCTAACATTCTAATTTTAAATCCCCCAAGTGAAGCGCAAGAATCCAAATTATTGAAGTCCACCTTATCACAACACGAACACCCGATTACCAAATATATATAAAGTTACGGTTAAAGCTCAACAGCTGGCCTCTGTAGCTCAGTTGGTTAGAGCGCTGCACCGGAATCGCAGGGCCGTAGGTTCATTCCCTACCAGAGGACCTTGTGCTGCATTTTTCGAGTCGTTCCTGCTTAGGTCTTAAAATGTATATAATCTCACTTGGATTACAAATCCTAACATTCTAATATTAATTCCACCAAGTGAAGTGCAAGAATCCAAATTATTGAAGTCCACCTTATCACAACCCGCACACCCGATTACCTAAATTTACATGATCTTACGGTTAAAGCTCAACAGCAGGCCTCTGTAGCTCAGTTGGTTAGAGCGCTGAACCGGAATCGCAGGGCCGTATGTTCAATTCCTACCAGAGGTCCTTGTGCTGCATTTTTCGCTGTCGTTCCTGGTTAGGTCTTAAAATGTATATATTCGCACTTGGATTACAAACCCTAACATTCCAATATTAATTCCAAGAAGTGAAGTGCAAGAATCCAAATTATCGAAGTCCATCTTATCACAACCCGCATACCCGATTACCTAAATATACATGAACTTAAGGTTAAAGCTCAACAGCAGGCCTCTGTAGCTCAGTTGGTTACTGCGCTGCACCGGAATCGCAGGGCCGTATGTTCAATTCCTACCAGAGGACCTTGTGCTGCATTTTTCGCAGTCGTTCCTGGTTAGGTCTTAAAATGTATATATTCTCACTTGGATTACAAACCCTAACATTCTAATATTAATTCCACCAAGTGAAGTGGAAGAATCCAAATTATTGAAGTCCACCTTATCACAACCCGCACACCCGATTACCAAATATATATAAAGTTACGGTTAAAGCTCAACAGCTGGCCTCTGTAGCTCAGTTGGTTAGAGCGCTGCACCGGAATCGCAGGGCCGTAGGTTCAATTCCTACGAGAGCACCTTGTGCTGCATTTTTCGCAGTCGTTCCTGGTTAGGTCTTAAAATGTATATATTCTCACTTGGATTACAAACCCTAACATTCTAATATTAATTCCAATAAGTGAAGTGCAAGATTCCAAATTATTGAAGTCCACCTTATCACAACCCACACACCCGATTACCTAAATATACATGAACTTACGGTTAAAGCTCAACAGCTGTAACGATATTTATAACTGTTACCCAAAAGTCTTTATTACTTCGATTAGTATAACATGTCTGAATCACAACTTGTCAGTCTCGAGCCTAAAACATATCGCCTAAAAACTCGACAACAACAATGACTCACGTGACATCAACGATGATGTCATCGCCACATCTCCCTCTCAATATGAAATGTTTAACGGCATCATAGTGTTTATGCCTAACATCTACCTAACATTTTTGTGTCCCAACGAAATTGTTTAACGGCATCATAGTGTTTATGCCTAACATATAACTATAAATAATGCGTGATAGTTCTTAGTGTCTCTCGTAATCTTTTTGCCAATCTGGCGAACGTCGCACTCGCGTAGTTCGACGAGGGATTGTCTCTTCTTGTCGCGTGTCACTTTCACTCGGCGTTCGACCTCCATTACTGCCAGAACTGCCTACCTGATTTTCATTTTCTGTTTCATGAGTTAAAGGGTTAGTTGAGGTGCTATGTTCCACGACTGGTAAACTTGGGGTGAGGTCCTTTTCGATCGGCTCACTCGGTTCGATTTTGGAATCTTTCACGTTGGGAGGTGGTGCCATCTCTTTGGTCGCACGTAGATGACGGCGATTACGGCGATATCGCCTTCCACAAACCTGGACTTCGAAAGATCGGTTTTCGAGTGCACGTACGCAGGTACCAAGCGACCAACGGTTATCGCCTGGAAGTTTCATTCTAATGGCGCATCCACTTTGTAGGGGCTCAAGCGGTTTACTTTTCTTGTTATACAACCTTGCTTGTTTTACTTTGCGGTTCTCTAATTCCTTCTTTGTTCCGTTTTGTTCCGGTGTTTTAAGAAGACTCTGATGTGTGGAAAGCAATGTACGAGTACGTCGACCCATTAATCTTTTCGCTGGTGAGGTTCCAATATTTTCAGTCGGGGTGTTCCTCCAATCTAGTAATGCTAATAGAGGATCTTCACCGCTGGCTTTTGCTTTCTTTAATAGGGATTTTCAAGTTTTCACTGCATTTTCGGCACGTCCATTAGATTGAGGATAGCGTGGGCTCGATGTTCGGTGTTCAATTTGCCACTCTTTTGTAAACTGGGCAAGTTCCGCTGACGCAAACTGAGGGCCATTATCGGAGATTAGGGTGTCCGGAATTCCATGCCTCGCAAATTGGACCTTTGATGCAGTGATGACTGTTTTCGATGTAACTTTTGATAACTCTTGAACTTCAAAGAACCCACTCCAGTAGTCAACAATGATAAGAAATTGCTGATGTCCCAATTGACATAGGTCCTCTCCGACCACTGACCATGGTCGTTGTGGTAGGTCGTAGGACTTCAGTGGTTCACGACACTGCTCCGGCTGGTGTGTTTGGCATATAGAGCACTTTGAAACATAATCTTTCACCTCCGCATTCATTCGTGGCCAATATATCACTTCCCGTGCTCGCCGCAGACAACCCTCAATACCTATATGGGACTTGTGAATTTGCTGTAGCATTTCTTTTCTTAAGGATGAAGGCACGACGAGTCTTTCCCCAAAGAAGACTAATTCATTATCTTCAATAAGTTCGCTTCGATTGTTATAGAATGGAATTAGTGCTGGTGGACATTGTTTCCGGTCTATTGCCCATCCTGTATTGATAGCGGTGATGAGTTGTTGCATCACTGGGTCTGTTGATGTACATTGTTTAAGCTGGTTTAACCTGTTCGGAGCTATTGACACACCTTCGCAGTGGTTAATTTCTTCTAATGCACGTACTTCGCTTATGTCATGTTCGGCAGACTCGGTTGTACTTCGGTATGCCCGACTCAGAGTGTCTGAAATCCACATTAATGTTCCTTTCTTGTAATGAATTTCTAGCGTGTAACTCTGTAGGGCCATTAACATTCTTTGCAATCTTTTAGGCGATTTGTGGTAGGCTTTGCGAAAACTGCTTTCAGTGGTTGATGGTCTGATTCAATGTGTACAATCTCGCGACCAAGGATGTATTGATCAAATTTGTTGGTGGCCCAAACAATTGCCAATAATTCCTTTTCAATTTGGGCATACCTGGTTTCTGTCTCCGTCAGAGCTCTTGAGGCATACGCAATTGGCTGGTCTTCTTGCAACAACACGGCGCCAAGTCCGGTTTCACTGGCGTCACACTGTATTGTTACTTCTTTAGTGACGTCGTAATAAGCAAGTACTGGGGCTTTCGCAAGGTAGTCCTTTACTGTTTTAAATGCTTTTTCGTGTTGCTCTAGCCAACACCACTCAAAATCCTTGTCTTCGAGCTTTCGTAGTGGTTGAGTCATGTCCGATAACAATGGTAGGAATTGGCGAGGTAGTTGACCATCCCTAGAAAACGCTTTACACCTTTGACATCAGTTGGAGAGGGCATTTCATTTGTTGAGTAATTTAGTAGAAGAAGTTTTGAATAATTTTGTATATATATCGCATTTTTACTTATGTTAAATTCCCATTGTATTTATGCATGTTTTGGCTCAATGAAGATGACCTTCAAAGTGGCATTGAAATTTTCACGAGTGAATTGTACTTTTTTACAAGGAAACTAAAATAAAATCGCATGAGTGAATTCAGGAATGTGTACTCTTCATAATGATACTTTAAAACATGAATTTACTCCATAAAACCGAAGAGTTATCGCGGTTTGAAAATGAGATATTTTTTAAATTTTTTTGCTATTTTAGAATTTAGCAAAAATAGCTATTTTTCAAACCGCGATAACTCTTCGGTTTTATGGAGTAAATTCATGTTTTAAAGTATCATTATACAGAGTACACATTCCTGAATGCATTCCTGATTTTATTTTAGTTTCCTTGTAAAAAAGTATAATTTACTCGTGGAAATTTCAATGCCAATTTGACGGTCATGTTCATTGACCCAAAACATGCATAAATAGAATGGGAATTTAACATAAGTAAAATGCGATATACAGGGTGTATAAAAAAAAACGCAACCTCGGAATTTCCCAAGAAATCGACATTGTTTTAAAGACAAAAGATTTTGGGCGCCTGGGAATTTAAAATAGCACAACTGTCAAAATTACTGCACACGCGAGCGCATAAAGCAAAATTTATGCATTTATTTAATGCACAACAACAGTAATATGATCTATTAGCAATTCGATTTCAATTCCCAGGGGCCTAAAATCTTTTATGCTTAAGAATTGCAAAGTGATTTCTTAGGAAATTCCGAGGTTGCGTTTTTTTTTGATATACCCTGTATATACAAAATTATTCAAAACTTCTTTTATTAAATTACTAAACAACTAGAAAACGATTTTCATTAAGCATGTCTTAGATCTGTAATATTTTTACGGGAACTAACACTTTCGAACACGCTGAGTTCAAATCCGAAAAATTCCCACTACGTAGACCAGCAGTTTTCACACAAACTGCTATTTTATCTTCACTAATATCACAGCAAATTTTTTCGTTGTTCAACGACACGGATCGATGACAATACAAGATTATGTCACTCAAAAGGACCAATTCTTAACCATTCTTCCTTTTAACAAAAGGTTTTGCTCGAATAATTTTGAGTTATGCAATCTTATGCGCGTTGGACGTAAACAACATATCTTGTCTACAACTTTGAGAGGGTACAGATAATTCCTTCTAATATCCTTCGTTCTGGATCTATCTCTATAAAATTACAAGGACGTTAATGTTAAGTCTTTGGGCTGAGAAATAATTGCTTACAAACGATCAAAATGTTTTATACAACGATGTAAAACGGTAATCTATATCTGTAATGGATCAGCATTTAAATTTCCAACACAGTTCCTGAGATGTAATTCAAGAGATAACTTATCATTGCATTTGAACTATTACATCAGTTGGTGTTATACTGTGCGATAAGCAAATATTATTGGAAAGAAGGCTTCCATATACGTTAAAATCACCAAATAATCAGCTCATGCACGCATTTCGCCACCAGTCGCCGTAAGTTTACAGAGCATACTTTATACTTTGGGACTGATCTTTGTCTTTGATGTGAACATTTATTCTTACAGTTTAAGGTCATTTAAGATTGATCCTGTCGTAAGTGTTCTACCAGGAACCAATCGACAATATTTAATTGTTGTCTTTGCCGTTACGTTGGCTTACACGGCGTTATACTTTTGTTTTAAATACCTTGATCGCGTTAAAAGAGTTATTTCCCAGGCCAGTGACATAGCCAAAAGATTTTGCATTACTGTCCTTTATAGAGAAATCTCTCTCGTTTACACGACACTCATTTTAGGTACGGCACGCTTAAATTTTGGCACGCGGACCCACGCTTTTTGGTCCGCCTGTTGCGTTTACACGACGAAATTTTTGTTCTAAAAATTTTGGGTTCGGCACGCTTAAACTGGGAACGGCACTCTTACATTCAGAGTCAAAACCTTAATTTGACATGAAATATCTGTTGTATTAAGCCATAACTTTTTGGTGTAGCGAAAAGTGTAAACTTTATTCCGAGTATTGTTTAAGTTTTCGAAAATTTGTATTGAAGTATTTCCAGACAATTATTAACATTTTCGTAAAAAATACAAAGTTTGTGTATTTCCATGCATGCATGTATTTTTTCAACTGTAAGTTTATGAACTCATATAACCTAGCAAAATATGTACTTGTTGGTGCTTGAAAAACTATTGTATGAAAGTGTTTTAATCTTCTAAGCTATAGATCATGATATTTCATTGACCGTCATGGCGATAAACAACTTTGTAATACAGCAATAAATTAATATTATAAAAATATAGAATATAACCATTTTGAAAGCGTGCACTATAACATTCAGTAACCTCGTATAAACTGGCTGACAAGCGGCGACAACAGTTTAATTTCAGAATACTTAAACTGATATTTAGATATTCTGTTTTATTTCGTTGAAAATTAATTTAAACTACAACAATGATTCGGCTGCAGGTTCACTGAATGTATTATCATGGTGTTGTGAATGTTGAATGTTGACCGATAGCACTTCGTCCTCGGCAAATGATTGTTAATTATGAAATAACAATTATCTTCACCATCACATATACCAGCATTACTTAAACTGCTTAAATACAGTTCTCTTTATCTTCGCTTTGCTGTGAGCTTTGAGTGTAGCAAGAAAACCAGTTGAATATACAGCTTCTTTATGCATGACTATAATATATCGGAGCTCTTGTATATAGCTTCGTCTGACCATGCATGCATATTTTCCCTCGATATTTGTTTGTACAGACACAATATTTTTGCAATGTGAGAAACAAAACGCGAGCGTAACAAGTTTTTGGTCCGCGGACTCATTTTTAAGCGGGCCAAGCTACCTCCTGACGAGCTCAGCCCCGTTTACACTACACTCATTTTTGGCACGGCACTCTTAAATACTGGCACGAGGACAATTTTCTTGAAAAATCAGCATCGTTTACACTACAAATTTTGGCGGGCCATCAAGATACATTAGCACCCCTACTCTTGAATACGGCCCGCTTAAATACTGCGCCCTTCTAAACTTCAGCGGTTAAATTTTTAAAGTAAAATTCGCGGGCATTTTAAAAAATGGAGGATGTAAAAACAGCAAACTCGGCACTTGTTTGGTATTTCTATGTGACAAAACGGAGACGTTTACGCTTGGCAAAATAACCGTGTACGTAGAATAGCACTTCACAACATAAAAAGAAAAGGTAAAAAAGAATTCACTGAAACTGTAGTAGCTTTTTTTCATCGCCAAAGAACTAGAACACTGTGGATGCACCCACGAACACAGATCTGTTTTGAGATGGTGGACGACACCTACAACGACGAGCTATGGTATATGCTAACTTGAGAGTTACGAAAGAGACGTTTACATTTATTCCCAGAAAGGTTGAGCCCGAAATAGCTCATGAAAATACACATCTTCGAGAAGCAGTTTCAGCGAAGCGACGGCTGGCAGTTACATTGTATTATTACTCTAGCATCCACGGCTGAATACCGCACAATTGGCAACTTATTCGGAGTTTCACGGTCGTTTTTGTGTCAGTGCATTAAAGAAGTATGTCATGCAATAACAAAGCAGTTTCCAAATCATCAAACGCTATCAGCTTCCCTAAGGGTGATGACCCTTTGCGAGTATTTCCAGGTTATGAAGAGACATGGAGCTTTCCCATGTGTGCGGCGCAGTAGATGGAACTCACATACCGATACTGGCACCTAACAAAAATCACACAGATTATGTCAACCGTAAGGGGTTTCATAGCGTCCTTATGCACGCTGTGATCGATTGTAATTATATTTTCAGGGACGTAGTTATCGGTTGGCCAGGAAGCGTACATGATACGCTGGTTTTCTCCAACTCAGCCATTTTTGCAAAAAGAAGGGATAACTGTCTTTTCCCAGATGACCTCAATAGGGAAATATGTGGGGTGGAGATGCCACCGGTAATTCTTGCGGACCCAGCCTATCCGCTGTTATCATGGGTGTTAAAGGGCTACCCTAGGAACGAGGCAACAACACAAGTCAACGTGTTTTTAACTATCGTCTTAGTCGTGCACGAATGACGGTAGAAAACACCTTTGGTACATAGGTGGAAAGGAAGATACCTCAGATTCAAAAAGCGGGTGGACATGGCACATGTTGTACAGGCTTCCTGCTTGTTACATAACATATGCGAAGCTCTTAAAAATGAATTTCTTCCTGATTGGGCTGACGCTGAAGTACTTATTGAGGAACCAATACTTCCAATTGATGAAACGCCTGCACCAGACGCAGAGCTAATCTGTGATGCCTTAGCTGAATATTTCACCTGTTAGACATAAGGACGGAAGTAGTGTATGCAGTATATTTCAAATCTAAGTTTGATGACCATACAATATAACATATTCCGAATGATTATACACTCAAACCTCTGGGTGTAATATAATTTAGTTACCCTCACTTGTGGTCCATGGATATGGGATATAGAGTGCCTTGAATTGGATAAATTCAGGGCTGACTTTATCTAATTATCAGCACTCTATATCCGATATATAGAGCACAATTAAGTGTAAGTAGGGTTTGTCTTTGACGCCATCTTGTTTTCTTTTTCAAGGAATATGCATGCGTAATTAGTTTTAGGGCAGCGTGCTATATTTTAAGCGGGCCGAGACTACCTCCTTGAATAGGTCTCGGCCCGTCAAACAATTATGGCACGCGGATCCTTAATTTTGCGTTTACACTGCGAAAATTAAGAGTGCCATGCCTAAAAATTTGGTCCGCGTGCCATTATTTAAGAGTGCCGTGCCAGAAATGAGTGTAGTGTAAACGGGGCTATATTAGTCAGTGTGTTGTGACCCGATATC